CTACTTTTCTGCTGTCTTTTCAAAAACAGGACTATGGACAAAACTGATATCGAAGGTTAGAAATGAAAAGCACACAAGTTACAGAACTAAAAAAGAAAGTCGCTAAGGGATGCACCATATTCACTTTGTTTTACTTAACAACAATGGATTCCTTCAGGTTTCCCTGTACCTCCTGTCAATGTGAAATCACACGGACAATTGGCTCTGTACTGAAAACAGCTTAAAATATTCAATGTGAGCATGAAAACAGCGCTTCTGGATTCGTCCAAACTAATTAACCTACACATCTCTTGATATTTCCAGCGTGCTTGATATCAATTCACTTTGAAAAACGGTCTTACTCATCTGCAGCACACAGGCTGCACCTATCCCATTAGGTCTCAGCTCTGTCACCACAGCCTTGCATAGTGTTAAGGAACTGTGTGTAAGCTCTGCCAAACAAATCCACGGAACGTTCACTTGTTCACATTCTTGGTTTCCCAAAAGAATCTTCTGGACCAGGTATTCAAAGGGGAAAAAAAAAAAAAATCTTCAATAAACTCCCCCTACAAACATCACCTTCCTAGCAAAGGTGTCCAGACAGAGCAGGTCTCTCAGCAGCAGGGGGGATCAGCGAGGCGGTACTAGGCCCTAACTTCAGCTCTGGCTTTGTGAAATCCCAACTACAGCTAAGTTAGTTTACTAAGACCCCTGTGTCTCCCACAAAGGGCCTTGTAGGGAAGAACAAAACAGACCAGCTATCCTTAGGTTCGCTGTGGCACTTCTTTCTTGCCCAGGCAGCGTCCCAACATACCATCTTTTACAGTCCTTGAGGCTACACAGCACCACACGCCACAGCTGTCACGCAGACAGACAGTGGAAATGCGCAGTGTGGAGGAGAACAGGGGATAAACCAGCATATTCATCTATAACCACAGTATTTTATTGGGTTGCTTTACACACTCCATTTCTACAAGTAGGCACAAAAAAAACATGAACGGCCATGAGAAATACAAACCCACAAGACTCAGAAGTAGCAAAAACTTTCCCCTGAATAGGGAACTGTGGTTCAGAATATTCAGATGAGAGGTCTATAGTTTCTGACACTTCAAAAGCTATTTACATGTGCATATTCCTAGAGCATACAAAACATACTCGCTAGGGCAGAGTTTAACCTCAGCCTTCTGCAAGCCCATGTCCAGAGACAGTTAGCCAGTAATAACAGTTAATTAAAACAAAAAAAACCTTTCTTTTTCCCTCTACAAACTTAGCTGCAGTCCGTGTATTATCAGTCACTCCCATTTAAAAAGCCTGTTTGATAATATACACACTAAACAGGCAGAACAGGCACTTTTAATTTAAACTATTAAAAATTAAGTAGTTTCATCTTGAATGTTCAAGAACCAGGATTTTGAAAGAATTTCTACTTAAAGGCTGTGTAGTTTTGCAAAGAGATTAGATTCAAAATTGTCTGAAAAGATGATTGTTCTCTGCAGCTGACCCTTTCTACCCTGAATACTAAGAAAATACTTAAAAATTGCTGTGAGCATATTTGCTTCAAAAGCAAGAAAACACACCCACTTGTTTCTTCACCGTTATTTTCAAGTTCTAAAAATCTTTCCACAACTGTTATAATTGAGGCACTGGAGTAACAGAAACCTCAGCAATTAAAAACGCAAACCGATTCCCCCGCCTCCCCAAACGCAAAATCCTGCTCTTGGGAAGCCACCTCAACGTTCCGCATGGACCGGTGAAGAAAAACGCTCCTTCTCCTGTGGGGAGCACCCGCAGCTGTGAGGAACAGCCCGAGAAGAGCGAGCAGCGGGGAAGGGTCCCCCGGGGCTCCCCCGGCCCTCCCGGGGCCCCACCTGCGGTTCGGGAGCGAAGCAGCCCCCGGCTGCCCGCAGGTGGGACCGGCCTCCTGCTGCGGAGTCGCAACCCACAGAAGCGGCCAACACCGACCGTCTCGTCGGGGTTTAACGCACCCCCCGGGCCTCACCTAACGCTCAGTTATCACAAGGCACCTGATTTACTGAAAAAGGTCCAAGGGATCGGCTACGGGACAGAGGTCGAAGGGACCCATCCCTGTTGCAGGGGAAGGGGCACCACCATCTCAGCCCCCACACCCCCGAGGAGGCTGACTCGGACCCGGCGTTGCCTCCCGGGCCCCCGGCTTTGCCCCTTTCCCCCCCCGTCCATCGAGCCGAGGATGCACCGGCAGCGGGACCCCCGGCCGCAGCTCCGCCCGCGAGGTCCGGGCG